AACATCCAGGACCGGAAAGACCCACACCAAGGTCCCTGCCACCTAGAGACAACAGCCTGGACTGGGAAGAGCATCACCAAGGTCTCTTTCACCTAGGGACAACAGCCAGAACTGGGAAGACCATCACCAAGGTCCCTGTCACCTAGAGACAGCAGCCAGGACTGGGAAGACCATCACCAAGGTCCCTGTCACCCAGAGACAACAGCCAGGATTGGGAAGACCGTCACCAAGGTCCCTGTCACCTAGAGACAACAGCCAGGACTGGGAAGACCATCACCAAGGTCTCTTTCACATAAATACAACATCCAGGACTGGGAAGACCAACACCAAGGTCCCTGCCACCTAGAGACAACAGCCAAGACTGGGAAGACCATAACCAAAATTCCTGCCACCTAGAGACAACAGCCAGGACTGGGAAGACCATCACCAAGGTCCCTGTCACCTAGAGACAACACCCAGGACTCGGAAGACCAAATCCAAGGTCCATGCCACCTAGAGACAACAGCCAGGACTGGGAAGACCATCACCAAGGTCTCTTTCACCTAGATACAACATCCAGGACTGGGAAGACCAACACCATGGTCCCTCCCACCTAGAGACAACAGCCAGGACTGGGAAGACCATAACCATGGTCCCTGTCACCTAGAGACAACACCCAGGACTGGGAAGACCAAATCCAAGTCCCTGCCACCTAGAGACAACAGCCACGACTGAGAAGACCATAACCAAGGTCCCTGTCACCTAGAGACAACACCCAGGACTGGGAAGACCAAATCCAAGGTCCCTGCCACCTAGATACAACATCCAGGACTGGGAAGACCGTCACCAAGGTCCCTGTCACCTAGAGACAACAGCTTTGACTGGGAAGACCATCACCAAGGTCCCTGTCACCTAGAGACAACAGCTAGGATTGGGAAGACCATCACCAAGGTCCCTGTCACCTAGAGACAACAGCCAGGACCGGGAAGGCCCACAACAAGGTACCTGCCACCTAGAGACAACAGCCTGGACTGGGAAGAGCATCACCAAGGTCTCTTTCACCTAAATACAACATCCAGGACTGGGAAGACCATTACCAAGGTCCCTGCCACCTAGAGACAACATCCAGGACTGGGAAGACCATCACCAAGGTCCCTGCCACCTAGAGACAACAGCCAGGACTGGGAAGACCATCACCAAGGTCCCTG